TATAATATTAAAAACGACAATACATACTTGTACAAGAGGATATAAAAGTGAACGTAACATAGAATCACTTTTTGATAAATATATTAATTCTGACCAAAAACGCAATGAATTTATATACTGCCAATTGTATACTGCTTGAAAATGTTCCTATAATATGTTAAATAGTTTCATTTCATAATAAAAGGTAATATTAACAAAAATATAGATGTAATTTTTAGATAATATTACCTTTTTCTTTAAAGTCATAGCATTTCTTAAATGAATAGCTAATTGTCTAATATATAAAAAAGCATGATGATATGCTAAATTATTATCAAGTAGATATATTTCAACTAAAGAATGTCTCATAAAATTTATTCCGGGTAATGTCGTAAGAGATACAAATTTAGAATTTTCAACATATTTTACATACATTGTCTGCAACATTTTAATTTTAAATTAAAAATATTAATTATATAAAAATCATTTTCATATTATATTAATATAGTAATAAAATTCTATTTTTACCTTAAACAACATCTCTAAAACTGATTTTCGATTACTGGTTACAATACGCAATATACTTAAAAAAGAAACAACACGAACGGTTTCTTCTCCACTTGACCAAAATTTTAATAAAATTTTTAACAATGGCTTAGTTAATGATGAAAACGATTGTGTATATAGTAACATTTGATGTAAATGTTTTAAAAGAACTGTGAGAATATTAGACGATGTTACATTTTGTAAAATCTGCAAATGAATATATAAATATTTTAATGATTAAGGCCAATAATATTCAATATTAAAATGTAATAATAACATTTACCTTAATTAAATCTGTTAAATATAATTTGAGAATAGTCTTTATTTTTGTAAATCTTTTAACTTTATGAACTTGAATATGATGAGTTTCTGAATCTAATTTTAAGTATCGTTTAAATGCATCTGGTAAATACAATATACACAACTGGACAACTCCATTAAATACTAAAAAATATTTTAATTATTGAAATAAAAATGTATTATTAAAAATGTATTATATTATTTATATTTATGATATCTAAATTAAATATTTAAATACTAACTTGCACCACCCTCTACTTTATATTGTAAAGATTCTGGATCAGCAGATTCAGCAATTGATTCTAATGCAGCATGAAAAGCTTCTACTGCACATTTAATTGTTTTCAATGATCTGAAAAATCATATATAAAGACATATATTAAATCAATAATAATAAGAATATTCTTTGATTCTGTAATTATTAAATAATTTCTATAACATTTAATTAGATAGTACTTGTCTTTTTGAATTTCTTCTTGCCACTTTTTTAATAATTGCAATGTAATTTTTCTTTTATCTTTTATGCTATTATCTTCGTCTAATTCATAATCACTCTCATCACTAGCAACCTAAAACAGATAAAATATATAGAAAATTTTTCTTTTCTCAGTTTATTTATTTTCTATTTTCATACCTCTAAATGATCATTAGGTATATGTTTTATATCGAATTCATTTAATGAAGATTTGTCATCATCATCAATTTCATTACCATCATCTGATATATCAAATTCTAAAAGATTTCTATCATTTTCTTTTAAATATTTATAAAATTCGGGATCTGTATCTTTTAATTTCATTAAAGATTTTTTATGTTGTACTGGATCCATGTCACTATCACTACTTCCTCCATCATCTTCAAGGGCATTTTTATCTATTACATAATATATTAAATTTTAATTAAAATAATTTTAATTAAAATAATTAAAATTAAAAATTTTTTACATAGACTTTCAATATATTTCAATATATTTTTATATTTTCCTTGTTATAACTTACTATATATATTTATTATATCAAAATAGAAAAACATATTTTAACTTCATTTTTATACATTATTACCTTGATTATCATTATCAATAGTATTTATTTCATCTTCAAAACTTTGATTAAAAAATTCATCTGTTGTTACATCTTTTAATTGTTTCTTTTTTTTCATGACAGCTTTTTTTGTTTTTTTCATCACGGTTTTTCCTTTTTTTATTTTCATGATTTAACTGTAAATAAAAAGTAAAATTAAATACAAGTTTTTATAAATAAATTTCATGAAATATTCATATAACAAATATAACCTATAAAAATTCTATTATATATTTTATTATATATAGTTTAGTACTATTTCATTATTAAGTATATAATACGTACTATATAAAAATAGAAAGAATATTATTTATTTACGTTGTAAGTTTTTTTTTACTTTTAACTTTCAATATTTACAATTTTTGATTGTTTTCGACAATGTTCTCGTTCTCCACGTGCATAACCATAAACATTTAGTGTTGATAAAACAGAAATCATCTTTATCAGTATATCAGTATAAAATCTATAATCAGTATTAAAGACACTTTTTTTTTCCTCTTTTCGAAATCTTTTCAAAATTAATAATACAACTAATAAATATAATATATATTTATTATATACATGAATAAACAATGTAAATAATAAATAATATTTTATAAAAGCAAAAAAATAAATAAAAATAATTACAATAATTTATTTATTTGTAATCCTATTTTATAATTATATTAAAAAATATCATATTAAAAATAATTATAAAGTTAATAATATAAAGTTAATAAAATTAATAATATTTCATTGTGATGATAAGTTTGAAAATTTGTTTAATTTTTTTTGAATTCAAATATTTAAAAAATTTATTAAAAAATAATGGAAAACTAAATTAATACAAATATTATTAATACAATAAAATTCTGTACTAATTAAAATATAAATTACATGTTTATGTAGTTACAAGATTTAGACTTTCAGATTTAACAAAAATCTTAAGTATATATATCATATATGTTATAAGTTTTTAACATTTTATTTCAGGAAAAAATTTATTTTAACAATTATATTAAAAAAGAAAGAATCTTTTAAATAAATTAGTAAAAATTTATTATGGATCTATAAGAATTAAGCGATATTATGTAGTCTTGTTTGATAATACATATTAGTAGGGTCATGATCTCAATTACTTCGATTGACCATGAGATACTTGACATAATTTATACAATATATATACACATATATAATATTATAAATATCGATCATAATATTAAAAAATAAAAAAATATATTTCATATCATTATTAAATAATGATAAAATTTAATAAAATAAATTTCATGGATATTAAAATTTTAAAAATTTAAAAGAAAAATAAACGCACAAAATTGATCAATAACTAAAAAACAAAAAAATATTTTATTGTCTTTATACATATTTCCGAATAGTGGCTAAATTATTACAAATATGAAATTTTAAATAAATTGAAAATAAATTTGAAAAATACGAACGATTCAGAAATGCATTATACAGAATGTTATTGCAAAATATAATAATATAATTTAATATTTTATTAATATTTATTATGAATAAATAAATTAAATTTACATAGCTCTTATGATATAACAATTAGTGTTGTGCAAAAGTGATAATGTAAAGCATTTCTTATACGTCATCTATGATATTCAGATTTAATTTGTTATTTATATTTTTTATTATTTTGATATTCGTTTCTTACATTATTTTTTTTTAAATCTAGATAATATGTAATGTATAAAATGGATAATTCAAAAATAAAAAATAGAGACGAGATTGAAATAAAATTCTAATTTTTATAAAAAAAAAACAACAGAACTTTTTTGTTTATCTTATTATCTAAATAAACAAGAATTTTACATAGATTATTTCGTATGAATGATATTAAAAGATATGAGATTGAAGATAATAATATTTTTTATAATAGATATTAGTATTATTAAATACAGAAAGCTTATTTAATTTAAAAAAAAAATTCGTATTGTTATGAATATTTATAAGAAATCAGAATTATTACTTTATTTACATAAGAAATTAATGTTAACTTTCTATTTTAATGCTTTTCATATATGTTATTCTTACGTAATATATATTTAATATGTAAATATAACTCTTTTAATTTATGAATAATAATTTCAAAGTATTTTTTTTTAAGTTTTGTTAATAATAAATAAATTTTATTAAATAAATAAATTGATCAGAAAAATTCACAAATTCACAATATTTTATTATTTTTAAGAGATTAATTTCTTATTTAGTTTTTTTCGTTCATTCAAATATATATATGTAAGTTTAAAAACAATTTATATATTTTACTTTACGAAAGGCATATATAAAAAATAATTAGTAAATAAAATAAGATAAAATGTAAAATTTAAATAAAATAAAAATAAATAAAATTTTTAAATTCAGTTTTAAAATCGAGTTTTAGAAATTAAATAAATAACATTTTAGTATCTATAAACTTTTTATATATTTCTTATCTTCTATAAAACTAAATAACAATTTTATCTAGATAAGAATGAAATAAAACAATAAAAATATTTTGTATATTATTGATTAATATTTTTAATTTGATGTATAAAATGTAAAAATAATTTTGCATATAATAATAATATAATTTATTAGTTTATCCACTCTTGCGCGAATAATTAATGCGCGTTATGAAACACCCTGTCTGCCGCCAATGCAGTCTGACATACTGAAGGTTTACGTACAGTGGTGTATCATGTGATTTCCTACTCTTACAAATTTTTTTAATGTTATTATTCCAGAAATTATAAAGGCAACTTCAATTTATATTAAATAAATAATTATATATGTATTATTTCAAAGAGATTTGTAAATAATAATTAATTTTTTTGCCTTAAATCGATATAAAAGAAGTTTTTAAAAATTATACGATTTTTACTTGACTGATTTAAATTTTCATTAATTCCTGATTCAATTAATATAATAATGAATTGATAATTCTTATATATTAATTAATGTTATGATTTATGATAGAAAATTAAATAATGAATTCATCGAAAAATATACGAATTATTATTTTTTAATTTTTTTAGAAATATTTCTTATTTTTAAATTTATAATATATTTATATTAAATAAATAATGATATTCTGTTAACAGGAAGTTCATATGGTTAAAGCATATTCTGGAATAAATGAATAAAAATTAATTTTTCATCTTCAATTTAATAACAACGTACTTAAAATCATCTTATTTAAATAAAATCTCATTGCATCTTCATTGTCGCGCCTTTACCACATACGGCCGTGAAAGAGCATCGCGCGCGCATACTCACGTGTCCTCGGTTAGCTCGAACTTACATATATAAACGATATGTGCACTCAGTTCGATGACTAAAACAGAATTGGATGGTATTATAGTGCTTCATTATAGTCTCTTTATTTTGGTTAAAATTCTTCATTAAATCATTTTGAACAGTGTAATATAATAATATATTAATAAATAAAATGAATATCTCGAACGTTGATTTGATCAACGAATTGAAGAACGCAGGAAAATTGTGGTACTTTATTAACCCCTATGAAACTATCTTCGAATTCCCGCACGAAGTTCCTGATTATCATCAGCAGGTAATTATATTTATATCTATTTTTTTATAAATAATAATATTTTAAACATATACTTAGAATGTTCAATATATTAAATATAAAATATTTTTTTTAAATTTTAAAATAAATATATTTAATAAAATTTAATTTTGTTATTTCCATAAAATTATTTAATTGATGAATTATTTTTAATTTTCTATGTTAAATTACAAAACAATATTTTGTTTATTACAAACAATATTTTTGTTTTAATTATTGTTTAAATTACCAATTGCATAATCAAGCATTAAATAATTATATCAATCAAAATAAATATCTATCAAAATAAATGTACATATAGGTATGGTTACCATTCTTCATCCTTATTATACTGGAGCAAATTATATTAATATTTAAAAAGAAAAAGAAGTTCCGTTTGAACGATCAAATGACATCTTTATCTCATTGGTTATTTCAAGAAACTGGCCGGTAAGCATAGGTAACGTTTTATTATTCTATTTATATTGTTATTCTTTTTGCTCGATATAATTAAGAGAAAAAATATTCTATAAATAATATTATAAAAATCACAGTTATAAAATCTCTGTTTATGGATTACGAAGATGATAAGAGAAATCGTACTGTTATATTTACATATGTATACGATGAATATTTTTTTAGCCGTTTAATAGTTATCATGCGATAAGTGAAATATGGTGATATAAAATTAAAATTTCCTATATTTGTTCATTTTAAAACATTTTTATTATTTAATAAACGCATCATAAATTTTTTTAATTTTCATTTAAAGATAAGAAAAAGAGAAAAGATTGACCTTAACATATATGTATTTTTAGTCAATATATTTATTTTACTTATTCTTATCATACTTTAAATGTAAAAATGTATATTACATCTCTTTATTATTTTCCAAGTTGAAAACATGATTTAAATATAAATTATTATTATTATTATTATTATTATATTCATTTTTATTACGAGTTATTTAATCAGATTTTTTAACGAACATTCCAGTATTTTTTTCCGCGGCGCTGAATATTACGTATACATCATAATTCATGAGAAATATCGCTTGTGGAATCTTCCTTGGGACTCAGCATGGACTTGGTGTGTCACAGCCGTGGGGGTGGATTTCTGTTACTATTGGGTTCACCGGAGTAACCACGGTTAAATTCCTATCCAACCATGTGTGTGTGTGATTGTCGATCCCCTACTTGACAAATTTATAGTATTTCTCGCCCATTTACAGAGGTACATTTTTTATGGGCTCAACATCAAGTACATCATAGCAGCGAAGAATTCAATCTCGCGGTTGGTTTGCGGCAATCCATTTTGCAACATTGGTGTAATTTTGTAAGTATCGCTCATATTACATTTACAGTATCCTGCGGATGATGTCTCATGCTATAAACAGAAACCGGTGTAATAGATGTTCTGCATATCTGGGCACTTATCCATTCAATTAATAAATCACAACGATATAACTACGATATAACAATGACGTAATTATAATTTAAAATAACGAGTTATAAGAATTTTTTAAACTTTTTTAAAATTTGAGTTGAAATTATGAAAAAAATTTTTGTGAAATATTTGTATTATATTTCACAAAAATCGCTTTACAAAATATATTTAAATTATATATAATTGTAATAGAAGACATACGATAATGTTCGATTATGAGACAATATGATATTAAAAGTATTATTAGTATTATTTAAGAATACACAATTTGTTTTCAGATGTTATATCTACCTCTTGCATTATTTATACCGCCATCTCATTTCATCGCGCATAATCAATTCAACTTAATTTATCAATTATGGATTCATACGACTGTCATTGATGATCTCGGACCATTAGAATTAATATTTAACACACCAAAACATCATCGTGTACATCATGGTAAGAAATAAATAATAAATATATTCAATTGAGCTGTGAATAATATCATCAATTAAAATTATTATTATTTATAGGTTGCAATTTATATTGTTTAGACAAAAATTATGGTGGCGTCCTTATCGTATGGGATAAATTATTTGGAACGTTTGAAAAAGAAAAAGATGAAATAATTTATGGTTTAGTTGTCAGTCCTCAATCTTTTAATCCTCTTTATTTACAGGTGAGAATCATGAAAATAATTCTTTATCATTATACTATCTATATCTATCTATATCTATCTATATCTATCTATATCTTTATCTAATAATCATATTATATTCATTCTGTTATATAAATATGATTATTAATAATGCAAATATATTATCGATTGATTATTTACAAAGCTAATTCATACGCTTCAATAAGCATTTGCTCTTTTATGAATTAATTACATTGTATTAAATATTATCAAATATTTACATTATATGTCAATTTTTATTTTCATAATTATATAATTATCATACAAATCATAAACTGAAATAATGATATATTATTTATAATAATTTATAATTAAGTAATACATATCATTTATTTTTAGCATAATAATTTCATTATTGATTATTTATATAAGATGTACTATTTATAAAATATATTATTTAATAAATATCTTGAAATTTTATAGATCTTTTATACTATAGAATTAATTAAAAAAAGTATAAAGATACCAACTCTTACAAATAAATTAGCTGTTGTCTGGAAAGGTCCTAGTTGGTTTCCAGGTGCTCCTCGTTTAGGTCTAGATGAATACAAAATTAATGTAAGTTTATTTTCTATAATCATTTTTATAATCAATAAATCTCATAATTATAAAATATATTATATATATTTATTTTCAAGTTTATAACAACAACAATAATAGTAATAATGAAATTTCTAATAGGTCACATCTAGGATTAAATATGATAAAAATATACCAATATGGCAAAATTTGTACATAATTGTACATTTTTTCCTAGTTCTTTACAATCATTTTCGTATATACGACGAAACACAGGTGAGAATTTAATTTTTTTATTTAATTGTACGTTTTAATATCGTAATTAAAATATTCATTTCCACAAATATTTTTTAAATATATTAATTATTAATATTTGTCAAATTTATAATAATATAATTGTTGAAATATTGAATATAAAATAATCAATGAACCTTCGTTTTTAGAATTTATGGACCGTATCATCTGGATTTATGCTTATTAATAATTTTCTTGCTCTTATCACTATTGGTTTATTGTTCGATGAATCGGCATATGTTGCTATTATAGAATTCATTCGATGCTTAATTTATATAATTTTCACGTTAATAGATAATTCAATAAATATATATATTTATTATATATATTTTGGATCTTTTTGCTTTTGGATTTTATATTTTATTCGTGCAACAAAATCTTTATAAATATAAAAAATTAATAAAAAAAAATTAATCTAATTTTTTTTAAGATATGGTGAGAATATTTATATATAATTATTTTCATATTCAATATCACATTCATATTTATGTAATTAATAATATTTTATTCAATATCATTATTATACATATTTCATAAATAATAAACATCACAAAATAAATAAAAAATAATTGAATCCTTTAAAAAATGAATAACAATAATTACATTTTAAGTTTAATAAATCTTATAATTATTTGTAAGTCTTGTAAGTCTTATAATTATCTTATTATTCATTCAGTTGTATTAAATTAGAACGAAAAATTAAAATACTTAAAACTCCTGCTGAGAAGTGTTGAAAGCGAATATATCTTTAGTTTGTTATCAAAGTATGTAAAAAATACTGATTATCTATTTGTATGTAAATAATAAATATATTTTTTACAAAACTAATACTACTGAATTATCTTCTACTACTCTATTCTATTCAGTATATTTGTTCGTTTCTGTAATAAATTTATTTCAAAGATTCGATATTATTTATAAACAATTTATATATGTAGTACATATATATATATACGTAGAATTAATTTAAAAATTTTATTTACAATTTCATTTATCTTCGCGTTTTTTTCTACTTGTCAAATAATTTTAGTATGAAAAAGATATACATATATATTTATAAAGAACATGTTTATTGTATTATGATATGAAACAAAACATTACGTTGATTGTGTATACCTATATAAAAAGTAAATGAGAATACGATTTTTTTTTTAAATAAAGGGTTACAAGGAACTACCGAAAAAAGACTTTCTTGTGTATAGCATGTATTTTGTATTTCTTCATTGTTCTTTTCATTTTATTTTACAACGTTTTGTACGCATGATTTTTGCATTTATTAATTAAACTTATAATATATTGTATATAGACAAAGTTATTGCTATAATAATTGAAGTTTCTATCAAATATGTAGTCCAAGCAACTATCGCGAAGAACATTGGGGTTTCAATAAATGATGAATATTTTATTTTGTTCATATAGATTTATATTTTCATCGATGAAAAAAAAAACATATTATGAAAAACAGATAAATGAAAAACATCGTTAAAATTTTGACATAACGTTAAAAATTCTTACGATCGATAAAATACATCGAATTCATTATCAGCAAATAGATTAAAGCAATATTTCATAATTGGTTAAAACTTCGCATACAAAAAATGTCTATAACATTTGCACATATGCATCATACATTAATCAGAGAATGCACTCTCTTGATAATATATATATATATATATTTTTTTTTTTCCCTAAGATCTTATACATTACGGTTTGTATATAAAATTTTCTATTTAATTAATATATTTTTTGTTCTTTCGTGAACACTTGCAATTAAGATTAACGAGTATTAGAGCTCGTAAACGTTTTTTGAAAATCAGTATGCAAATATAAAGTGTTCATAACTGTCAACATCTTAAGAAAGCGTAGTCACAAAGACACGTTATAATCGAAAAATTTACAAAAACATGACATTTTTTTTTTTTATATAAGTATTATCATACAAGTAGGACATACGAGAATAACATTTAAAAAGTACAATTTTTGCGATATAAACTTAATTACTGTAAATAATCGTGAACAACGAAGCAAGATAATTCATAATTATTGAAACAAGTAGATTGAAAGCAATTACAATTTTTGTTTTTTTTTTTGTTTTTTTTTTCTTGATAGATTTTAATACGAAATGAATAAGCGTCATTCGTGTTTCTACCTCATTTTAATAACAATCCTATATTTTAAAGATAATAACTATTTCACTTAAGCATCATAAAACAATTATATTCTTATAAAACGTCGCATAAAATAAAGATAAATGCATTTTAATACCTTGCATATGCACAACGCGCAAGTATTTCTTTTAGTACTTCATTTTTCATTATATTATGCTGTATTACGTAAAGCATTTCAATTGGTTCAATAATACATCGTTGTAGCTTTAAGAACCAACGTTGTAACAAATTCACTTTGATGGTCCACTATCTGGAACGAGACGAATATTGCGAATTAAAAGTAACAATCTTTCTTTTTCTTAAAATCTTAAAATGCCAATTTTTATTACATGCAATATTACATAACATAATAATACGTACCTACGAAAATATTCCTATGTATTGGTGCTCGGTGTTGTCCTCGCTCTATCGCTTCTATCGGTTTCCCCTGCATCCGATCTGTGCTCCAAGGAATTGTCCGACGTGACACCATCCGAACGATCATCTTCGTTGCTCGGTCTTTCGGAATCTTGTTGTTCGAGCAAAGGCATGTCCAACGAGTCCGAAGAAATACGTCTAACGCTGCTCGCGTGTTCAGCTACGTCCGACTGCATCTCCCTTGCGTCTCGCACATTGTTCAACGAGTCCGAACTCAACGAAGGAAAATCTAGCGTGGTTTTCATCTCTAACGAGTCGGAACTTCGGCATAATTGGTGATGTTTCTTATCCATATTATCCTCCAGCTCGAGGGAATCCGTACTCGTCTCCATTACGTTGCTCTCTCTTTGAAGAGGCAACGGGGTCGGTTCCTCTAGTTCCTCTTCCGGTTTCGAAACAGGTTGCACACCTGGCTGAGATCCAATTTTCTCAGCGTCCGTGATTTCGATTTGCGAAATGTCCTCCGTCGTGTCGTCTTGCCGATCGGACTTCTCCACATTCGACTGGGCTATCCGTATTATCTCGTCGATCTCTTTTATTCTCTTCTCGTAATCGTCCGAGCCGGATGTGCTCGCGTTGAACGAGCCGGCCGTGCTCGTGTCGATCCTCGTTCGCGTTAGGCTTTCCAATTTGTACTTGTTCTCGGGGCTTTCGTGTTCTAACAAGTCTTCCTCCTCCCTTGCGCGCAATTCGATTAAATGCGCCTCCCTACACGCTCTCTCCAACCCTTCGAAATCCTTCAACGAAGATAACGAGATGTCGTCGCCGTGGCCGGATCGGCTGGTCATGTACCTCCTTGGAAGACTACCGTTATTGACGGAATCGTGGGAGCCGCATTGCAATTTCCTAGAATTCTCAGCCGCGACAGCGCTCTCCAAGTTCTCGAACTCTTGCAACGAGCTCAACGACACGTTGTCGTGATCGGATGGCCTGGTGAAATATTTCCTACCGGCCAGGACGTCGTAGTCGGGCGTACTCCCGAAACTGCCTCGCATACTACCCACGCTTCCTATCGATTCCTTGTGACTGCCCAAGCTTCCGAATCTACTGCTGCCAGCCTCGAAGTCGGTGATCTCCTCTTCCTTTATATCCTCCAAAGGACCTCGATCGTACTCGATGTCGTAGACTCGTGGATCCGCGTGGAATTGCATCTCTATCCATTTCTTCCCCCCTTCGTATTGCTCGTCGTCCGAGTACGATTGGGAATATTGATCGTCGTTCGAGACTTGAGGCGGGCTCTCCTCCGACTCGAAGTCGAACAATTCGTTGTTCTTCGACGCTTGACTCGTCGACACTTGCGAATCTTCCTTGTTCTCGGTTATAAGATTTTCAAGATCCCGATCGTACTGTTTGCCGATCACCTGGGGTATAGAACTGATGCGTATACTTTTCCCTTCGGAATCGTATTCCTCAGCCTCTCTGCCAACTTCCTCTATGACCACGAAATCGTCGATGATATCCGGTTTATCGACCATCTCGAACGAATCGCTGTCAGGCGATTGACGATCCGTTGACTTCTCTTTCCCCACCACCGTGTCTATAGACACGCCGGACGTCGAAGACGTCGACATCGAAGCCTGTTGCACTATAGAGGGTGTCGACGTTTGCATCGACATTTCCGGGCTTTCGCTCGTCGCTTGCCCCGTCGCGCTTCCATATCTCTGTTCCAAAAGCTCGGACTCCATCGCTTGCACGTCCAACGTTGTCCCTTCCTCCGCGTCCTTCTCACCCGTCTCGAGGAGGCTTTCGACCTTGGATGGCGCCTCCTCGTCCTCGACCTCGGCCTCGGCCTCGGCTTCCACGCCTCGAGTCGAAATCACCTGAGTGCACACACTTTGTACCCCGTCCTCGGAAACTCGCGACGTCATTATATCGACGGATCGAACAGGTCCAGCTCCCGTTGCCGAGGTCGAGGTGGACGTGGCGAAATCTACACCTTTGGTGTCCTTGGCCGGCGATTCCTCGAGAGCGGCCGCCTCGAGGACTTGAGGGAAGATCATTTCGGACGATCGCTTCATACGACAAGGTGCCCGATTGTAGATATCGTCCATCGGCTCGTCGATCGGTATATCGCTACCGGACGAGTCCGACTGTTCGGTCTGCTCCTCGTCCAGACCACCGTCCAAACGCTCCTCCTCTTCCTCCTCCTCCTCCTCCTCCTCATCCTCCTCCTCTTTGTCCGCATCCGCTTCGGACGCTACCAAAGTCTCGGACAACTCGCTGGTACTGTCAATGCTGCCGAGATGACCGGAGCTCAAAGAGGTCAAAGACTTCATCGATTCGCGCGAGCTCATGGTCGTGGCCGCTGTCTGATACTCCTGCGAGGTTGGTTTGGAAGAGGTGGAGTGCTCGACGGACATCATCGCAGTTTCGTATTCCGAGGCAGTGGCGGAAGGTACGCCGCACGATTGCATCGCTTCCACGTCGGAAGAGCTAGGTCGGCTACCGCTACCGATTTCGTAGTCGCACGATTGATAATTACTACTCTCGCCGGAACTAGAACCGAGATCCGCGTCGCTGTCGGATGTGATGCGTTTAGCACTTCTACCGGGTTTCTGGCGTCTTCTAAGTACGGGGCGCGGTAAAGCCAAAGAAGAACTTTCGTCTTTATTGTCTATGTCCGAGCCTGACATGCTGGCAGGCACGGGGCTAGGATGTTCCTCTTCGCGGGCTTCCTCCTCGTCTTTCGTATCTTCGTGGACGGTTATTACAGCAGTCTCTACGTCAGACTTATCGGTTTTAATCACAGGTGTATCCTTTTGCGTTTGACGTATCGGTTCCTCGATACCACCGGATCCATCATCCATCGTCTCCGTTTCGCCTCGATCGGTATCCTTCGTTTCGAATTTCGATTGCGATTTATCAGCGGGGGATTCTTCCCTCTTTATCGCTTCGGTATCCGACTCGTGGGTGGTTTGCTCAGCAGCAGGATACGCTGGTGTGTATAAAAATGGTAAATCGTTGGGAATGGATTCGGGTTGTAATTTAAACCGGAACTCTGAGGGGGAATCTTTTATTTGGATCACAGTTTCACTATTTTCGCTTAATTCCTCTATCAGGTCTTGCTTAGCCGCCTCTAAAGACTCCTTCACCTCGGCTATCTCTTTTTTAACTACCTGATCTAGAACGGTTATAGCGTATCGTGCACTTAAATCAACACTAGAGAGATCATCTTTTTTTATTTTCAAGGCACAAGTGTCGGAAGGAACTGTCGTCGATCTTCCAGGCTTGTCGTGCTTCTCCGTAGCTTTCTCCATATGCCTTTTGTAATCTTCGCTCAACGGTTTCATCTTCGACAAATAAGCTTCCGTCCATTCCTTCAACTCGTCAGTTGTTTTCTCTAATTTCAGTTCGATTTCCGGCTTTGCCGCGACTCTCTCCTGTTTACTTTCCTCGCTTTTCAAAGGTTTAGCCAACACATCGTCTTTCGCTTTCTCCTCTTCCTTTTCTTTTTCTTCTTTTTCTTTCGCTTTTTCCTCCTCCTTTATCTTTTCGCCTTCCTTCTTCATCGGCTCCTCTTCTTTCACCTCTTCTTTCACCTCTTCTTTCACCTCTTCTTTCACCTCTTTTTTCACTTCTTCTTTCACCTCTTCTTTCACCTCTTCTTTTATCTCTTTTTTCACCTCTTTTTTCACTTCTTCTTTCACCTCTTCTTTCACCTCTTCTTTCATCTCTTTTTTCACTTCTTCTTTTACCTCTTCTTTCACCTCTTCTTTCACCTCTTCTTTTACCTGTTCTTTCACTTGTTCTTTTACCTCTTCTTTCACCTCTTCTTTCACCTCTTCTTTTACCTGTTCTTTTACCTGTTCTTTCACTTGTTCTTTTACCTCTTCTTTCACCTCTTTTTTCACCTCTTCTTTCACCTCTTCTTTCACCTCTTCTTTCACCTCTTCTTTCACCTCTTTTTTCATTTCTTCTTTCACCTCTTCTTTCACCTCTTTTTTCACTTCTTCTTTTACCTCTTCTTTCACCTCTTCTTTCACCTGTTCTTTTACCTGTTCTTTCACCTGTTCTTTTACCTCTTCTTTCATCTCTTCTTTTACCTTTTCTTTTACCTGTTCTTTCATCTCTTCTTTCACTTCTTCTTTTATCTGTTCTTTCACCTCTTCTTTCTTTTCTACCCTTTGCTCTTCGATCGTAATTTGATCGCTAGGTTCTTCTTCCACAACTTCTTTTTCCACTTGCAAAACTTCTTCTTTTTCCAATTCCACCTTTTCATCGGTAGACGCGACAACTTGTTGTTGAGTACTTTCCACGTATTCCTCGATAGGCGTTTTTGCATCGTATTCGCGCTGCAACGTGTCGACCAATTCCTGACAACTAACGTCCAATTTATTCTCCACCAATTCGTTTTCAAAATCTTGCTCGCTGACGGGAATCACGGTGAATTTCGTAGGTTTACGATCGTCATCCGCAACCGCTGCCTCTCTCGTCGATTCTATCACACTGATGTCCTCCGACGATTTAGTGCCGGATTCCTGTTCATGATCCGTCGATCCGTCCAACGAGGACAATCGTTCCTTCTTCTTGATCATCGTTTCGTACGCCTCCAATTCTTGGTTGAAGATCTGAGACGGTTGCAACGTCTCCGATATTTCGATCTTCTCGTCACCGATCATCCAATCGACAGGTTTAATGATCTCGAGGCCACGAACCTTCGGTTTCGGCGAGACGAGCGGAGGACTTTCGATTTCGAAACTGTCCGCTCTTTTCGTGCTTATCATAGGCAATTCCCTTTGGGATCCTCCAATAGGATGAGACGACTCTTGCACCAAAGAATAATCTATATTCGTATCCTCGGATACGGTGCTAGGGCTGATCGTGATATCTCGTTCTTGAGCCAACCTCTCGAACGAATCCATTTCCGCGCTCTCGCGCAACGATGGTATTCCTCTGCTAGTCTGTTCCGATATTTTATGCTCGTCCATCTCTAACGAGGGTACGTCCACCGAATCTTCTCTGGATTGACTGTCCATACCTGGTTCCAGTATTTCCAAAACTCTGGCGCCTGAAATCTCGGACACCATCTTATCAGGAGGGAAACTCACCTGGCTGCTCGATCGTTGTTTCTCGTATTGAGGGCTTGTCGTTGGTTTCGACACGCTCTCCAACTCGTTCGTATCCACGTCGATCGTTTCTTCGAAATCTATCTGTTCGGATATGCTACTGGGGCTCATGGTAATATCTCTGTCTTGGAGTTTAGCCTGGGACGATGAAAGGGGGAAACTTTCTTCTTTCTCGTGGGGCGACGATTCCTCGTCCCTGGTTATATCCTCGCTTATACTGTCCCTGGTCGAACTTTTCTCCAACGATTCCTCCTGTATCGACGATCTAAACCTCGGCGGCGATTCCACGCGCCCTCCCTTCTCCTGCGCCGTCCTCTTCATGATACTTTCGAATTTGCGCGTCAAATCATCCGCCAATTTCTCGTGGTCCGTTTCCACGCTTTCGCTTATTATTTGTTCCAAATATCCTTTGCTGAGTAACTCCGCTTTCAAATCCGCCGCTGATTTCGCTTCGATCTCGCTCTCGATCGATTGAATCAGAGTTTCCGCTATGGTACGCGCCTCGATCTCTTTGAACTTTTGCCGTTGCTGCTCCTCCAAACTTACACTCGGTCGCGCCACTTCCTCCTTCTCTTCTTTCGACGATTCCTTCTCCTCTTCCTTCTCCTTCTCCTTCATCCTCTTCTTCTCGCTCGGCACGAATTGGACAACGTTGAAACTTTCTTTCGTCTCTTTGTGCGATTCCCCTTGAGCGAGTGTCTCGATTTGATCCGTATCCGCAACTGGCCTCGATATCCTTTCCGTCGCTTTTCCCTCCACCACTTTCACATCCTCCTCGTACCCGCTTTTCCTAGGAATCTCTTTCTTTATTCGAATAGCTACGTCCGCGTCGCTCTCTCTCGATACACTGCTACCTGCCTCTTGAGTCGTGACACCCTCCTCGTCCGATAACTTTTTAAATATCTCCTCTTTTTTCGTTTCAGCCCTCGATTCGGACGCAGCCGCGTCTATTATGTTTTGAGTGTCCGTCAAGTTCATCGACAATTTTTGAATCGCTGTTTTGTCCAATTCCTCGCGCTTAGTGCTTTTCTCTTCCAACGTTTCGGTCGGCGACTCTTTCTTCAATTGAGATTCCAACGATTTCTTCTTCTCCACCCGTTCCTTCTCCTCGTGCGTGATAACCTTGTCCTTGCCAGTGGAAATCTCCGAGGATACAACTTCTTTCTTCTCCAGCATTGTCGACGTTTTATGATCGATCTTGGACGTCACTGTTTTCCCTAATTCACTAGTTTTCCCTAAGCTATCCATATCCTCGAACATTTTGAAAGCTTGCTGAGGATCGGTGAAAGTTTTCGAAAATGTTTGCGTTTCACTTTTCGTCGTTAAATGTTCCTCCAATTTTGAAGTTATTTCTTCGCTCGATTTCTTCTCCGTTATCGTGTACGATTCGCTTTCTTTTCTTACGTGCGTATCCTTCTTTCCAGCTTTATCAGACGTTGGTTTAACATCCACGACACGCTTCGGTATTCGAGATTCGAATTCTTTCTTTCTGGTCGTTGGCGAAATATCTTCCTTTTCTATGATTAATTCTTTATCCACTTCGAGTTTACTTGGAACACGTTTCTCTTCTATCGTAGCTTTAAGCTTCGTTTCTTTTTGAATTTTATCTTTGTCCATCTTTGCTGTTGAAATAGGAATACGCGACTCGAATTCCTTCTTAACTTGTTTCGTTTCAACTTCAGTTACTATTTCTTTGTGCAGTGAAATTTTTTCTTTCTCTCCTTTCTTTAACTCTCCTTCTCCTTCTTCCTCTCCTTCTTTTTTCCCCTTAACTTCTTTATCTTCCTTTATAATCGATTCAGGAAATACTTTCTCCAATTTTTCTTTTTCGACCAGTCTTATTTCCTCCTTAACTTCGACTTCCGGTTTTCTTTCTTCCTCCATAAATTTTTGCATCTCCTGTTTAATATCCGTTGAAAAAGTGATCTCAGGTTTAATATCGCCAATCGATTCTATCTCGTGAATTACCTTAGTCTCGATTTTACTTTCAGGCATTTGGGTTAATCCGCCTAAAGCATCGCTTCCCCCTTCCACTTGAACGGATTTCAACACTTGTTCTTGTACCAGAGTACCATCTTTCTGTACCTTATAGATAATAGTAGTTTCCTCCGTTATGATACGTCTTCCACCCATTTTTTCTCTAATGATCTCCTCTCTTTTTGTCTCTGGCGTTAATGTTCTTTCTCGGACGGTTAAATCTGTAACAACTTCTTGCTCTTCCTTTTCTTCCTTTTCTTCTTTTTCCACAACTTTTTCCGCAACTTCATCTTGCACTTTCTCTCGTTTCGCTTCCGCTTCTGCGATTATCTCTCGTTGTAATTTCCTTTCTGTGATAATTTCTTCCACCTCCTTTTCTATTTTCTTCGCAGGTTCCATTTTTAATTCTTCATCTTTCGTATCTTCCATTTTTTTTTCTACAATGGATTCTAATATCTCTTCTTGCTTTTTCTCGGTATCTATTTCTTTATCTAGTTCATCGCTTATATCTGTAGTAACTTCTTCTACGTATTCCTCTTTCTTTTCCTCTTTTTGCTTTACAATTTCTTTTTCTTCTTTTTCTTTCTGCTCTAGATCTTCCTTAATACTTTCTCGTAAAAATATTTCCGTATCTATTTTTTCTGGTTCTTTCTCTTTTTCTTCAATTCTTTCTTCCACTGTTTCTTGTTGTGTAGTTATCTCTGTAACAATCTTTTCTGCTTCTTCTTTTTGCTCTATACTTTCCTTTTCCCTTACGATTTTTTCTTCTGGACCAATTTCTGCAATAAATTCTTGCACTTCTGGTTCTACGTGTTTCTTTATAATTTCTTCATGAATAACTATTTTCGTAACTTCGACGTCCTTTTCTTTTTCTTTTATAGTTTCTTCTATCGTTTCTCGTTCTACACTCGCTTCAGGAATAGATTTTTCCACTTCCACTTTCTTGTCTTCTGCACTCTCCTCTATAACTTTTTCTTTCGTTTTTACTTCCGATATTAGTTTCACTTTTTCTTCTATTTCTTCTTTTAATCTTTCTTTTTGCTCGCTTACTTCTACAGATTTTATAACATCCTTTGGTTTCTCTTCTTCCATCTCTTTTATACTTACTTGTGTAATTGACTCTTGTACTTCTTCTCTTCTTATTTTTACATCTTCTACGATATCTTGTGCAGGTACTTCAGTGATAACAATTGTTTTACGTTCTTTCTCCACAACATCTTCAACTTTTAATTCGGCTAATTTATCTTTTATCGGTACGGGAGTTTCCTCCACAATTTTCATTTTCTCTACTTCATCCACTCGTTTAATCTCATCAACCGATTTTTCTTCGACAATCATCGATGGTTCCACCATTTTTTCTTCTATCGTAATTTTCTCAACTTTCTCCACGGATGTTACAACGGGCATAGACTCTAACCTTTCAATATCTTTCTCTAATTTTTCAGGTTTTACAGATACTTCGGTTACGATCTCATCAAGCTTCACATAATCTTCCTTTTCTTTTCCCAATTCCTTTTCAGACACAGACACCATAGATGTTACCTCGCTTACTTCCACGTATTTACTTTCATCCTTTTCCTTTTCATCCTCATCAGACAATCTTCTCTCCTTTTTCTCGCCTTCTTTCTGCTCTTCCTTTTGCAACGTAACAATCTCCATCCCCTTCTCCTCCACCTTTTTCTGCTTCAATTCGGTCACATACTTCTCATCCTTATCCACCTTCTCCTTCTCGCTTATCTTAATCTTCGTTACCTTCTCCTTCTCGGATTTCAACGAGTCCTGTTGATGCAACTTGGGCGGAAGTTTCGTCGTCTCTTTTTGTATTTGTTCCTCGAAGTATTGCGCTTTCTCCGCCACTGAACACTCGGATATATCGGGCACGTTCAAATCTTCTAACGTTTCAGACTTGTCGATCTGCTGCTGACCAATGTCTGCCGTGTCCTCGGTGATTACATTCTGTATATACTCGCTGTCGCTCTCGTTTATAGTCAACTGCGAGGTTCTCGACACCTCCGATTCCGATCGCTGATAACTTTCCCGTTTCCTTGATATATCCTCCCAGAATTTCCTCTTCTCTGAATAGGTTTGTCTCTCGACACTTGGCGACAAATCTTGCTCTTGCTCGACTACTTTACTGGGATAACTAGCATCTACAGATTCTAGGGGAGAAGCCGCTTTTTGCGCAAGGAATTCGTGGATAGTAACAGCATCTAGAACAACCAAGAATTATTCTCACATTACTTTTTATTAGATAACGGTACATTGTAATGAATGAAATACATTTTTCTCTCGCGTATATTTACAATCTCACGTTAATATTAACTCTTATTAAGGATTATGCGATTAAACTTTCACAAGCGTGCGAACTCGTAAACACGATTTTTTTTTTCTTTTTTTTTTTTTTTCTTTCTTTTATTTTATTTCATTTTCTTTAAATGTTAATAGAGTTACAACACTGTCGTAAACTTTTTGTTACTGTACATAATAACAATAATATTCTTTTTTCAGAAGAATAAATACAATTTCAAAAATAACTCTCGGGTTATCGAGGCATTGTTAATTCTCTTTAAAATTTTAACATGCACACAGAAATATATAGATATATATATATATATAATATAATACATATAACTCTAAATTCTTTTATAAATTTTAATTGCTCTTTTTTTCTTTCTTTCTTTTTTTTGTGTTTTTGTTTTTTTTTTTTTTTAATATCTATAGATATAATTAGTATCCTTCGAGACTTAAAATTAATATCCCATACGGTTGTCTATGATAATGTTGAGGACGGCAGTTTTGTCTGCAAGTATAAGTACAGAATATTGCGTTAATACTAAATGATAACATTAAAGCAAAAATATTTTAGTCGGTTAATTTTTGCGACATGTGTATACATAATTTATTTTTAACAATTTCTCTTGTTAATTTTTTCAAGTTAATCTCAAATCTTATGTTAAAATCCAAATAAAAATAGTAAAAATTGTACTCAAAGCATGGTGCAAAAAGGAAAGAAAAGGTTTCCATAGAAAATTAATTTTAGGAATACGATAAAGATCAAAATAATTTGGCTAAAATAAAAAATATACATATATATAAATACTATTTAATGCTTTAATATTTGATGATTGATTAAATGTATATATAAAATTACAAAAATATTTTAAGTTTTTTAAATAATTTTGTCAAAAATAATATATGAATATATTGAAGAAATATTTTTATTTGATTAAATTAATTTTTAAAAATATTAAAATAGGAAACTCATCTTTCTTTCTTACTTTTGAATCTAATTGATTATACATATAAATATATGTTTATTATGTACGTAATTGCAATCAATTAATATTGTTTTCAAATAGGAAACAATCGCAAAAAAATATTAATATCAGTACAAAATAAAAATATTAATATCAGTACAAATACAAAAACGATTTATTATGGTTTAATTGAGTTCTTTTTTATCATATAAAAAAGAAAATTTTAACATACCTGTTAATCAACATTTACGAGAAATTACAGAAAAAATTTAAAATTTTATTTTTGTCTTAAAGTAAAATAGTAAATTGTCATAAAATAATCCAAATTATAATGAAAAATATATATTTCTATAATTGCAGCACAAACATTTTTTGTATTTAAAATTACATAAATGCAGGATAAGACATCATTGTTAATTCACTTTAGAATCCTACAAATATATAAGAGAAAGTTTAACATATATATGCATATATATTTTTCTATTTTTTTAAAATTATCAATATTCTCAGTTTGATATCGAATATAAAATAGGCAATTCTTCGGTATTCATAGAATATTCTCTTCATAGATATTATGTATAACAACATAATACATCGAGTAATATGAAATTCATTTCATATCCTCTATAATTGAATAACATATGTATATTATAATAAATATCGATTAACATACAAGATAATATTCGATGCATTTGCATCGTCTTCAGTACTTAATTAGAATAAATTAGATCTAATAGAGATCAAATTCTTACAATATTCGAGTAACATGAAATAATCTGTTAAAAAGCGGACTCTTTAAATTCGTGTTCTTACCGTCCACATGATTTTCAATTTATGATTTACTCAATCGTAATAATTTACTCAACTTCTTCTACATCGGTATGACAATCGCTAGTTCCGTCATCACTGATTTCTTTTACAGTTAACAAGTTCTCCATTTTATTGATATTTTTCATAATAACTTGAGACGCAACAAGAACGTCTAAATCTTCGAATAATTCTTTTTGACTGCAACAAGTTTCTTGCTCCTCCTCGTCCCCGGATACAACCATGTCTTCTTCATCAGTATTCGACATAACCACAATGTCTGGCGTGGCGCCACAAGTCTCATTCTGTGGACTATCTTCATATATTTTATTTCGCACTTCCACGGAGAATGGTCCTTCACCTTCCTTAGTCGTGATCGTTTCCCCGCTATAATCGCAAAATATATCAGACCTTGGTTTCACATAGATAGGTGATTGCACTTCGTCTTCGCCTTCGAGGTCCTCAAGATCCGTTTCTGTTTGGAAAGGAGTATCGACAATCTTAAGATTATCTTGATTCTCATTCTCTTCGTTCTCTAGCTCGCTTGGATAAATTTCGTCCACGTCTGTCATATTCTCAACGAAATTATTACGCTTAACGAAATCTTTATCATCCAGTGATAAATAATTCGAGCTTTCATTTTCTATGACATCAAATGTCACGGAAATAATCGGGTTTTGTTCTATGTTATTCAAAGGTTTGATTTGCGAATTAATCGTAGTTAACTCTCCCTCTGAATCGGTGTCAGAGAAATGTAACGACGAGTTATTAATCATAGCGTTCAATTTTCTACGCGTCGATCTTACTTTACGCTTTGCTTTCGTCCCAGTCTCTTTCGATTTGGACGAGTTTAAATTTTCGTCAATGATCTGCGGATCTGCAACATTTTTCTCATTTTGATCAACCTCTGGTTGCTCGTTAATTCGATTCGAAGACTCTGTATCGATCACGCTCTTTTCTACGGATAGTCCATTCTCGTTCCGTGATTCCAAGGTACAATTATCTTCCATTTCCACTTTCTCTTCTTGTTTCTCACTTGAATCTTCCATGTGTACGTAAATGTCTCTTGGAAATAGGTTTCTTTCTTGGCTTTTTTTTTTTTTTTAAGATTTAGCGCGCAGATCTTAAGTGCAAATTACTAAAGAACTTAAAAAAACCTGAAACTGAAAATAATAAGAAAGAAATGGAAATTAATGTTTAAAACGAACGAAAATGTAATAACAATGTTATAACTGGTGTGTTATGGACAAACAAAGCAAACGTAAAAAGTGTAACCAATATCTCAACTCGATTTAAATAAAATAAACTCACGTTATAAGAAAATTGTGGTAGAATGATACTCGAAAGAAGAAGATAGGTTTTAAAAGTAGTGGTAGTTCCAATGGTTCAGAACAAACTAAATGAATTCGTCATAGCTATCGAACGTTTGTTGATACTGTTATACGTAATTAAATTACAGAAGCCTCACTCGACTTTCGAGGCATAAGTAGATTAACGTGCCCTCTTAAACGAAAATAGAATTACAGTAGAAATTTTTCTACTGCACGAAACGAAATTGTTTTCAAAACAATGTTTTCTTTAATATTTTAATACCAAATTTTACCTAAAGTTTATAAATATCGATTATCACTATTAATTAGTTTTATAATGAAGTCATTTGTTTAATAAGAATACATGTATATATATATATATCTAAATTTCATAATCGTTAAAGCAATTCATGTATTATAATAAATAATTTCTTATTATAATGGAACATATAAAATTTCCTTTTTTGCACCTTGCATTTGAATTTGAATTCAATTAGATTGATTAATGTTTCCTTTAAATAAATTTCACTGCGATTTGTATAATTTTTACATAAATTTTCTTCATTGCTCTAACGTTATCATTAATCTAATATGAAGTGAAGAAACATGGATATATCATACCTGTTCGTTCCTTTTGCAGGGTGTCGGTAATAAATTTCTTTTCGGAAGGCGAAATATCCTTAGGTTCGTCGCCTTTCTCTTTTTGCTCCATCTTGTATTTCGATTCATAAGAATCCAATTTTTGACTAATAATATTCGAATCTTCATAATCTGCAACGAAAGGAAGAACAAAACGTTATATTTTGTAATTAAACATTAATTTTCCCAGCTTTGTATATATATATATAATATTGATATATTACAGAAAAAAATTTACCTTTCAATTTCTTTTGTACTTCAACTTTAGTTATAATTTCTGGAAGAACAATATTCAACACGCAAATTGGTTGTTGAGGCGGTTCTCCTTTCGCTACTTTCGGTTCTCGCATAAACAGCATCCTAGCAACCGGATCCAACAACGGATCTTTCACTTTTACGTGAAAAGATAAACGATTTTGACGAAAAGCTTTAAAGGTAAATTTCAATTGTACTCCCGATTTCGTCACAGGTACTAAATTTCCACTGAATTCAATATAAAGATCTTTCCCATCGAGTGCCTGTAACGAAAGTTAATCATAAAAATATCTGGATGGAATTAAAATAAAATTAAAATTACATAATGAACAATATTTACTTCGACATCGCGGCTTTTTACAATTTCGACAAATTCCTCTTGCCTTTCCAAAGTGTGCATTCCTTCTTTTCCATCGGTCATGCATAACACTCTTAATGTTGCTTCAAGCACATCCATTCGTTTCGAATATATTATAAAACTATATCAAAAAAAAAAAAAAATTAATATTTATTATGAATATTTATATATTATTAATATTTATATATTATTAATATTTATTATAAATAAGAAAGGATTATATATAATTTAATTGAAAATTGGTATGCATACTTTGTAATATATGGCACAAATAACGATTCTTCATATAATTCGGTTGCCATTTTTGGAACTGCGCCTATATTTCGGCAATCCATTAACCAAAATCGAGCGGATACAGTTGTGGTAAAGGACACTGTATCGTTCATAAAAGTTAATGGTGTCGACCCAGTAACATCTTCCCATTGTGACTCACTGGTTCCACCTAAATTTGAAAAATGAAAAATAATAAAAAGAATTATATGAGATATTTTTATTTATTATTATATAGAATATATAATTAATATAATATAATTATTATTAATTTACCTGCAATACTACATAAAAGTCGTAATGTTGGTGTTTCACCACCATATTGATTAATCATCCCTTTATTCGCTGCTTGTGGTACAGGTATCGTAAGGGTGATTGGTTTATGAAACTTTCGTCTTCTCGGCTCGATCGTTATTACAGGTGAAACAGCTACGCAATTTCCTAGTAACTTTGCTGTAAGCTCTGCCGGAATGACGTGAGCCTATAAAAGTTAGAAATAGGAACGGCTATCGATTATATTCACCCAACATAAAAATTTCCTGATGCGAAATATTGCAATTTAAATTACTTGTAATCCAACTTTAATCTTCTTTGTTAATGCTCCTGGTGGAAAGACTGCTTGGACGTCGTTAGCAACACTTGATGTTAAAATTCCACCTTCGGCACCAATCACGTGAACTTCCTGTTTAATTCTCGTGATAATAGCAAAGTATTGAGGAAAATCGGTTGTTATTATACGGGTAATTCTGCCAGAATGAGTAGCGCTCATTTGAGGATCTATAATAAATAGATATAAATAGATACGTTAAACTATATATGTGTAAACATGTTGATAAAACTATTTTTAAATTTTTAAAAATACCATATGGAGTATTTAATAGAGTGGTATCATTATCAGCAGAATTATCGTGTTCTTTCCACGTTTCACCATTATCACTTCTAAGAATAATGATTTCTCTCTCCTTGCCTCGAATAGACGCGAAATGTGGTATATCGATTAAAACTGGGCTAAAATGAAATATATATAAATATATATTGTTTGCAGAATAATAAAAAATCAAAAATGATTTGCAGAATGATATTTACCCTAGAAACGTAGCACCAATTGGTCCCATTTCTATGATACGAGTTGCTAAAGCCTCTCCCTCCATTAAAGGAGGAGGATTTGCAACTTTATTAGGTTTTATCAATCTACACGTAACACGAATCGGCATTGTTGCTCTACGTGGTGGCACAATGATACGTACACCGCTGTGTCTGCATCCTTTCATAGCACCTCCACGTGCGTCCACCAAGAAACTTACTAAAAATCTAAAAATTGAAATTATCTTTTTACACAAATCTTACGGCGTAAATATAATTGCTACCATATGAAATTGCTCATTTTGAAATGATAATCATAATTTCAGTGAATGTAATATTGTAAGAATTTAAACTAGTTTATAATACAGTTGGAACATAATGAAATATTAATTTAATTTTTAAAAGTTACGTTAACAAAAGAGTGATGATTTAAAAAATTTTAAAGCGATAATAAAAATTTGTTAAAACTTCGAAAATTGCAATTTTATATAGTAGAATTTAATTAAAATCATGTATGCTCACAATTTATTTCGATTATGTGGTATCAAATAAAATTAAAATTGGATATTTAATCAAAGTTAATATATCAATCGTGTCTTATCTATCATAGGAATAAAAATTACTTACGATCTGAAATGAAGTCGGCTAAAAATGAAAATATTTAATTTCAATTAATATAAAATTCCCATATAAAATTTTACGCTATAAATACTTTACATATTATTAAGTAATATTTTTTTTAAAGATATAATTTATTTCAAAATTGATTTATTATATCAGATATAATTTATTTACCATACAATTTATATAAATTTAATATTAATATTTACATACCCCAAATTAAATCCATCAGTATCAAAGTTTTCTGCTAGACAATAATTATTGCTTTGAGTGAAATCCTGTTTTTCTTCTTTTGTAACTGGTCGAGAACAGTGCCACACATTACGTAAAACGTTATCGTAACATTTCTAAAGTAAGGAATAAATATTTTACCTTGTCTATGTATTGGATCATCCCGTGTAACATCAATAGGCAATGAATCATCTCTTAAACTTTTCATCAAATCTGCTGTAAGGTATCGATACGGCTGCTCGCTGATCAATGCATCTGAACCTGTATACGAATATCGCGGTTCAGTTTTGTTTCATGTACATTTTTTTTTATTTAACAGTGAATGTTTATATACGTGTTTGTGAAAAATCATATTCTATTCATATTCATAAAATTATTTACATAATTCTTGACTTTCTTATAAACTTAATTAATCATAATAATCATGTTCATTGTCTGATTATGTAAAAGAATCATACCTCCTTCATCGTCAGAATCAGACATAAAACTAGTTTCTTGCAAACTTTCAGGTGCGATAACTTTGTACTTCTCGTCCCAATTTTTATTATCAGGCGCCAAGGTATCATAAGATAATCCCTTCAATACCTCCATTACAGATATATATCCTAATTTTTGAGCTATATTTAATGCAGTCAGTCCATCCTGAAAGAAATAGGTCATATAAATCGATATTTTATATTATAAAAGAAATATCACAAGAGAGTCATACAATTTTTCAAAGAGAGAGATTTCTATGCATAATCTATAATAAATAGAAAAAAATAATAGTACTTACATTCGTTCGAGCTTTATGCGAAGCATTTCCTTCTAATAATGCACTAACAATATGTGCATGGCCTTGTTGAGCAGCTTGATGTAACGGAGTGTAATTTTGATTAGTTTTTACGTCGATAGTTGCATTGTGTTTTAAAAGAAATCGAATCATCGAAAGATTCCCGAAATGTGCCGCGACATGTATTGGTCGATAACCAGTTTCGGTTTCGCTTTCAACGTTTGCACCATTTTTCACAAGTATAGAAGCCACTTTGATAAAATCTTCTTGAGCACACAAGTGCAGTGCGGTGAGACCATTCTAGACAAAAAAATCGTTTAATAAATATTAATTTCTCAAGAGATTATTTTTTTTAATCAAAAAATATAATTATAATGACTTTACATACCTTTGATTTATGATTTGGATCAGCTCCATGCTCGATTAACAGATTCGTCATGTCATAATGTCCTTTTTGTGCGCTTAAATGCAATGGTGTAAATCCTGCTTTGGATTCAGCATTCGCGTTTGCTCCGTTCTCTAAGAGAGTAGAAGCAATATCCATCTAAAAAATTTTCAATTAAATTTTCAATTACTCAATTGTAAGATTGATTATTAAAGATTAAATTCGTTACTTTTGTGAATTCTTGAATTCTTGAATTTTTTATATTAATTTATATTTCTTACAAGAATAATGGTAAATCATACATTCAAATAAAATAATTTAGCTTTTGTTATTATTTATTCGGATATAATATGATATTACCTGATTTTTACGTGCAGCAATATGTAGAGGAGTATGTCCATTTTGAGAAGCTAAGTGAGGGGATGCTCCTTTTTCTAACAAAAGATTTGCAACATTTGGATGATCATAATGGCAAGCCAAATGTAAAGGAGAAATATCATTCTGAAATTTTACATTTTTAATACATTAATGAACAAAAATTATTATTATTTTTAAAAAAAATAATAAATGAAGTGTTATTAAAATTAAATTAATTGAATTAAATTGTAAATAATTCTGATATAAGTATAATATAAAATAATATCAAAAAATTTGAAAAATATATAATTGATACATACCTTTCCTTGTGCATCAAGTTTACTATCTCTTTGCAAAAGTATATTTGCGACGCTCATATTGCCATATTTAGCTGCGATATGTAAAGGAGTAAAACCATTTTTAGTTGTAGCCTTAAGAGAAGCATTGTTTTCCACAAGAATAGTTGCCACCTGTATATGAAAATATGAACTCAAGTGAAACTATAATTAATTTCTTTAAGCTAATAAAAAAAATATATATGATGCATAATATAAAAAAATTTTAAATGATTAAAAAGAAATTTAAAACATATAAAACGATTAATTTAACTTTTCTTATCTTTACTTTAAATTTTAAATTTCGCGCGATTCTAGATCATTCGGACATATATAGAATGAAGTATTTAAGTGGAATCATCTGGATTCGTAATTAATACAAATTGATTTACAAGAATTGATTGTATTGTTTCAAAGGAATAGTATATCACATAATTTTGTATTTCAAATTATATTTAAAAAAAAAGAAAAATTATAAAAAAAAATTATAAAAAATTAAAATTACATTTAAAAAAATATGCTCATAACATGCTCATAAACATATAGAAATATTATTCATAATATAATGCCAAAAATATATTTTGTTCTTTTTTAAATAAAATTTTATTATTAAAATTATTATAATATTAAAAAAAAATTAAAATTCCTAATTTAATCGAATTCTAAGTATATGAAATAATTAATAAATACTATTATATATTATTATTACAAATCTATTCAATATTTTAAAATAGATAAAAGATTTTTTAATATCTTACCTTAAATTAAAATTTACAGTTACTTCTAAATGGCATATAATAATAAATGCGAAATAAAGAAATGAGGTTATTAATTTCTAAGATGTTAATAATGATATAATATAAGAGATAGCTAGAAAAAGGCAACAAAAAAATAATTAATATGGTGAAAAATTTTATTAAAATTCATTACAGATAAATAACTTAACATAAAATATAACAAATATAAACAAAACTTAATTAACAGAATATGAAATAAAATATAAATGATAAGGAAGGAAATATGTAACAACAGAAAATAAGAAATTTTCTAATAATTACAGAAACTATATAAGGTATTCACGATATCTTGTCCAAAATAAATATAATCTACTTTGCGTGCTGATGTAATCCGCTATCTTTGAAATTTCTTTGTACATTACCTCCTCCTGCCCTTCTTTTGCTGCAATATGTAATGCTGTGTACATATCTTTTGTGGTAGTATCAACTGCTGCACCATGTTGCAGAAGTAACATAACAATATCAATATTTCCTAATCGTGATGCAATATGAAGGGGTGTTTGTTGTTCCTAAAATGAATCAAGACAATTGCCATATCATATGTATAAATATAAATATATTAATAATAATATGTACTATTAATAATTATTATAATAAATTAACAATAAAATGTGCATCTATTACAAAAATAATAATAATATCAACATAAAAAACGAAATGAGACTGGTTAATGGAGTGTGCGAAATACGTAATAACAATGAGTACACAATGATCATTTATATGTATCATTTTATGTGTGATTTTCGTTAAATTATATTAACGAAATCTGATCGTACCAGAAATAATTGTTTTTAAACAATTTTATATTTACTTACCCTTGCGCGAGCATCAACTTTGGCTCCGTTTCGTAATAAAATTCGAATAATGTCTGTTTGATTAGCTCTAGCTGCCAGATGTAGAGGTGTTTCACCCCTAACAGTTGGCACGTCAGGATTGGCTTCGTGTTGCAGTAGAAATATCACGATATTCATACATCCCATAAAACTGGCCACATGTAATGGAGTCAGTCCAGACTGTAAAATATATGTATCTTCTATTAACATTTTAATACTATGACTCCACAGTTTTCAAACGAATATACTTTCTTCTTCGATATATTTATATGGAATACATAGAAATGATCATCTATATTGATCATAACAGAATCTATATAAAATAACCGTTAACCAGTCTTATAATAACTACCAAACAATCTGTTACATTTTTTAAAACATATTTTTCTATTATTTTTCTTTTTTTCAATTATGAATATTTATAAATACTATGTAAAAAATAAAAGATATTTTTTATTTGATTCTTGAATTAAATATCAACAAAAAAAAATCATTAGTTTTAAATATTCTTTTATTATTAGTGATTAATCAATTTCGCAGATATTAGTTTATTTTAAATAAATAAAAATTTTATTCATGATTTTTTCATGAATACATTAAGTTGAAGTAATTAAAAAAATTAGTTGTTTATAACGTGATCGAAGAATGAGTATTTTAAACTTTAAATTAATGATATATATATTAATAATTTGAAACAAGAATAAAAATTAGAATAAAAAGAAAGAGAAGAAACTTGTACTTTCTGAGAAAATAAGTATTACTTAAACAATAAAAAAGTTGTTAACATACCTCGGTAGTAGACTCGATCGATGCTCCATGTTTTACTAAGAGTTCAACAACTTTTATTCGATTCTTCTTACAAGCAATATGTAGTGGTGTGAAGCCATTTAAAGCTCGTGCATTCGGATCAGCTTTCCGGTCCAGAAGTAATTTCGCAACTCTAACATGTCCACAATGTGCGGCAACATGAAGAGACGTTAAATAATCGATCGTAACTTCATCTACTGGCGCTCGATGATATAATAATACTCTTGCTGCATCTACATGATCTCCTTGTGATGCCATGTGCAATGGTGCAAGTCCATTCTAAAAAATATAATTTTCATTAATAAAATCGACATATTATTTATTGTATTATATATTGTATTTCTTGTACACATAATTAATATTGGTAATATAACAACTTTATGAATTTAATTAATAGTAATTAAATTTTTGTACATACTTTCGTTCGTGCACTAATAGGTGCAGAGTGTTCAAGAAGCGTGGTAATAACTTGTTCATGACCAGATCTTGCTGCACAATGAAGCGGTGTTAAACCATCCCTGGTTTTAGCATCGATTTGCGCAGAATTTTCTAATAATACTTTAACCATATTGTTTTTACCCCATTTCGCTGCTACATGTAAAGGGCTTATATTATGCTGATAAAAGAAATCAAGAATATTAATATCAAATACAAGTTTATTAATTTTTATTGATATCAATTTATTCGTACCTTTGCTAAATAATTCACATCAGCTCCACGTTTTATTAATAAACGTGCTATTTCTTCGTTTCCATAATGGGCAGCGATATGTAGAGGTGTAAAGCCACTTTTCGATGTAACATCAGGTTTATGATCATTCTAAAAAGAGTAGAAATAAAATATAAATGTAAAATTATGAATGTTCATTTTAAATTTTAAATTTTAAATTACCTGCAATAATAGATCAGCAGCCTTACAATCATCTTTTTTAGCCGCAATATGAAGTGCTGGTAATCTAACTTTTCCTTTAGAATCATTTTCTAAAAGAACGCTGACAACTTTATCATGTCCTTGTTGCATTGCAACAGCGAGAGGTGTAAATCCATCCTAAAATCATTCTTTATTGTCTAAATTGTATAAATTACATGAAAAACATGATATAGTTACTATCAGTTATTTAAATGATAAATATATAATACAATCGTTATATAATACAATCAATTGTATACATATATTCACCTCTGTAGCAAGACTTTGATTGGCGCCGTTACTGAGCAACAATTTAACAACTTGATCATGATTTTCTTGCGCAGCCATGTATAAAGGTGTAAAACCATTTTGAGATTGAATATTAACTGCAGCACCATACTGAATAAGAATATTTACTATTTCCGCTTGGCCAGCTGAAAATATATTATAAATCTCATTTAATAATATTTATTTATGATTATATTTAATATAATATTATATATAAAATTAATTTAATATAATTTTAAAAATGTATTAAATATGTTAGTTTCTTTATTGTAATCTATTTTATATTATATAATAATTAAAGATTAAATTTACCCAACGAAGCTATATGCAGCGCAGTATTTCCTTTCTTTGTAGCTGCATCCACTGTAGCACCTCTTTTTAATAATTCCGTTACTATTTCAACATGACCATCTTTCGATGCTAAGTGTAAAGCATTTAAACCATTCTGAAATATGAATTATAAGAATATAAAATATTTTGATTTGAATAAAACAAATAACATTTAATAAATACGAAAATAACAGATAATTATAAGAATTTATAAATCTTACCGAATTAGCTGTATTAATATCTAAATCGGTATCGAGAAATTCAATCACTTTTTCAAGGTTCCCAGACCGCGCAGCACGAAGAAATGCTGTCGTATCGTCAGCCTAAATATGAAACAATACATCAATATTAAATATATAAATAATAATAATAATATTCATTTTCTAATTTTAATTTTCAATATTAATAATTATTGAAAATTATTATAAAATAGTTCAAATGTTCTGAAAATATTTTTCCTAAATTCATTTACCTAATAAATAAATTTTAAATTTAAAAATTAAATTTTAAAAAAAATTAAAATAAAATAAAAAGAAAAGAATTATTAAATATATTTGAAATTGAATAAAAGATGTATTAATGATTAGTTATTAATTAACAATGCAACAAAATTAATGCTTACAATACAATTATTTTAAATATTTTCATTATAAAATATTTTTAATTATATTTCCTTTTGATATATTTAATAATATTATTTAAAAAACAACAAATCGAAAAATAAAATAAATAGAAATTTAAGAAAATCCTTCTATTTTATAAATCATTAATAAATAAAACATGTATGCAATACATATGATACAACATATTGAATATAAATCAATTATATGAATTATAATATATTATATAAGTAAGAAATAATTAATAATATAATATTGTTTTTATTCAATGCAGTGTAAAGTGCAATATAAAATGCAGTAAAAATGTTTTTTATTTTAAAAAAAAAATGAAAATTTAATAAATTGATATTGTTATGAAATATTTATCTTTTTGTTCATATTCAAAAATTTATAAACCATTGTTTTTAATTTGACTATTGTATTCAAGTATTCAAGTTCGAATTATGTTATGTGCTAGTAATACATATAATTTGACCATGACCTTTATCCTATCAACAATTTTGATTTGTATTTGTATTTTTACTTGATTAATGAATTTTGTCCCCATTAAATTATTTATAACTATTTATATTATTCGAATTATTTCTCGATAATATCTGGAAAACGGTAACCATACGATAAAAACCGGCTTATAAAACATCTATGTACCTATATCGTGCCTATACCTTGCTTACAATCATCCCTTCCCACTATTTCTTTTTATTTTATCTATGGTTATCAAGCTGAATTCTAAAGTTTTTTTCATTTTCTCATATTTAGTATTGTAATCAAAGAAATTCATAAAAGAAATGTATCATTTAAAAATTCAATATAATGCACTTTTTATTAACGAAAAAAATAAAATTATTTTAATGTATCATTCCAAAGTTCACACCCTTCGATCAGTTGAAGAAAGAAAAAATACCGGCGACATTCCGGCACCTCTTACGCAAAATGAATATAGAATCATACCTGACTGGTACTATCTGTAACCATTGTGCTTTATAAGAGACTCTAGGCACTATGATTCTTTCACTTGTCCAGCACCTGCTGGACACGAAGGTTCTTTTTCTCGGTACGCGTTAAATCACCATTCATGCACTCCTGGGGTAACGCTAAAGGTGAATAGGAATATAGGAGCCGCCCCGTATACCAAACTAAGGCGCAGAATCGAGCGGCAACGATTGAAAAACAGGGGTTGCATCGTTGCCTTTCTCACCCCCTATAATATCTGTCCTTGTTTTTCTCCCACCAACTCATGCGATATATCGAATCTCATCATCACTATGCGCATGCGCCTATCAAACTTAATAATATATATATATATATATATCCATATGTATATATATGTATGCATTTTCCCCTTCCTCTTCTAAATATTTCTCTTTACTTTCTGATATAGCAACCTAGGAAAATTAGCTAGGTTTCACAACGTGCAAATTATCGGCCGAGTAAATATTACCATAAATGTGTTTCGTGATACAATTTTATCTTATTGTTCTTGTCTTATTGAACAATAAATTAAATAAGATATAGCAAGACTTTTTAATATTTTTATATTATTATTTATATTATTTTCAAGTAAGTATAATGATTATATTAATATTAAATATTTTGATATAATAAGAAATTAAAAATTTATTATATTTAAATTAATTCTAAAAAAAGAGGTTAAAATAAAAATACAATATTTTACATGGTATATATTAATATACTAATGAAAAAACGATAATATATTAAAAAGATGATACGCATGTGCAATATTTAAACAGATTTAAAAATGATTATCAAAAAGTTTTTTCTTTAAATAATCTATTATTTTACTATTATGTTCATGAAAGTAATAATAATTTTTATTTTCTTATAATCTTTTTATATCATAAAAAAACATTTATAAAAATATTATAGATATAACAAAAAATTAATTATGACGGGTTAAAGAGAATTATAAAATGCAGTGAATAAGTAATCATTTATTAGTATTATTACATTTTATAAAATAATATTACGTTTTAAAAAAAACAGAATAATATATGTATATTATATAAACATTTTTCAAAAAAAGTTTTGCAAAAGTGAATGTTTTGATTGTTATAAAATAAAAAATATATAAAAAATTATTTATTTTAATAAAGAATTGAAAATTATGTTTAATTATTCTCCAATATTATATTTTTAAGATTCAGATTATTCTATTGTTTCCAAACAAAAATATATAAATTAAATCATTAAATATTGCATTATTATTTAATTTTCAAAAATAATATAAAAATTAAAATATTTAGCTATGTGACATCAACATTTATAAATTTTTTAATTCATTGTGATTTCATTTCATGAACTAACAATATCTTAATAATATAAATTTTCTAAAAATAATTTCTAATTCCTTAAACACTGGATTTTCGCCAATATTACAACATAAATATATTAATGTAAAAAGAATGATATGTAATCGATATCTTTTTAATATCGATACTAAAACAAATTCCTATTAAGAAATAATATGGTATAATTATCGTTTATCGAAAATTATTATAATATTTATTTTTAAAAACCGGAAATATTTAATTCGATGTATACTGAAAAGAGGAAAGAAATTTTAAAAATGCGTCATATATATTGCAATATATAAGTGTGCACAAATATGATGCACATTCTTTGAAAAATGTTACTTTCACACATTTTTACCTGGAACCTAATGATCGGTGGAAATGCCTCCTCTGTCATCATTCCCAAATAATAAACTGTGTATTTCGTTTGACAAGTTTTACGTATACGTATATTTCTTATGCTCCATACTGAAAACGTAGGTCAGAGGATATTTATAACATTCCGTTTCATTCTCATGAACGCCTTTGTGGTGCATATGCTTCAATGATTTGTATATATCTATTTTATTTAAACCAATGAAATATATTTAACACTAATCATTAATTTAACATAGTATTATAATTTTTTAATTATTACCAAGCAATTGAATCGAGAGCTTTATTTATTTTTTCATTGATATTAAAAAAATTATATTTTTGTTTACTTCTTTTTAATTTGATTGAATACAAATTAAATTAATTTACATAAAACAATTATAAAATAATTATAAAATAAATTAAATTTTATTACATATATTTATACATTTTATATATATATATATATATATATATATATCTACTCATAAAATATCTAATAATGATTTATATGAATGAATTATAAAAAAAAATATAATGTTATCAATTTTTATTAAATAGAATAATATTGATTTATAAATTAAAAATAAAATATTTTATAAAAATATAGTATTATATATTATATTTATATACAGCATTTTTTTCAAATTTTATATACAATACAATAATTTTATAGTACTTTTTCAAAATTTATATATAATATTTTTTTTCAGAATTATAAATTTATAAAATAAATATTTTTTAAATATATATATTGTTTTTATATTATATATTTTTTATATTTAATTCCACCAAAAACTAACTGAAAAACTTGAAGTCAAAGAAGTTACATGATGCCACCATTTTGGAGGAATATAAAGCATTTCTCCAGGTTTTAAATAAGTCATTAAACCTCTTGCTTTAATAAAATTAGGCCATTTTTCATAATTTGGATTTAAAGGATCAACTTGTGCAGTATTATTCAATAATCTTGTATCATATGGATATAAATTCAATGAATCATTTGGATGATATAAAATAATTCTTTTATATCCAAATACCTAAAATACAACAAAAAAAATCAATAATATAATATAAATTAATATATATTTATATGTATAAATTAACATATATTTTAATATAATAATTTAAAATATATTATTATAAAATTTTCATACTTGACATAAAAAATTATTTTTGGGATCAAAATGCAAAGGTGAAACAGTTCCATTAGGTCCAAACCAAACATTTATATCTGGCTGTTTTACATCATCATTATCTGTAAAATTACAATATTCAGGAATTGTAAAATCATCTTTCAATTCAGGAATCTGAAATTATTATTATATTTAGTATTTAAAATTTCATTTGAAATATTAAATAATTTAAAAAATATAGAATAAAACCTGTTCAAACAATTGATGCTGAGCTAAATAACCAATTTGATCATTTTTTGTTAATATATATTTTTGTAAAAATTCTGAAAAATTAAGAAGTTGTTGTGACCAATTTTCATCAGTATAACGTGAACCAATTTCAATAGGTACCAATCGATTTCCAGCCACATTAATTAAATACTTTAAATCCTTCCATTGTTTTAAAGCTTTCCAATGTTTAATACAATCTAAAATGTATTTTATATATATATATCATAAAATTAAACTAAAATTAAAATTTATCAGGAAAATATTATTATCAAGTAATATGAACATAAATATAAAAATAATATATAAAAAATAATAATAATTAGAAATTTTTAAAGTTTTAATTTATCTATTTTTATTAAATTTTGTATATTTTTTTATTTAAAATAATACATTCACATTATTATTTAAAATCTTTATATAATGATGAAATAAAAATTTGCATGAAGATAAATTTAATATTTGAAAAGATATTTTATTAATTGCAAAATTAAATTAAAAAAAATATATTTTACCTTTTAATATTGCAGGTACTTTAGGCATAAATATTTCTTTGTAAAATAGTTCCATTGAGGGTTCAATATATTGAGTAATTTCAATAAATCCAGGTAAAATAAAATCATATGAATTTTTAGAATCAATATTTAATTTTTTTAAATCCAATATTTCTGTTGATTTTGCTATAAAATATAATAAAAAATATTACATAGAATAATAAAAAAAAAATTACACAACATAATTTACCATTACTTAATATTTATTATATTTATATATACTTAATATTTATTATATTTATTTTTTAATACTTACTGATATAATTATTCAATTCTCTTGCAATTTTTGGTAATAAATCAGGTATATTTGGAAGTGGTGCTCCTAATAAAATACCTTTATCAATTTGCTGAATAATATCCTTCAATAAAATTATATTTTTTGTAAATTCTTCGATATTATTATAATATTGAAACTCTAATAGTACTGTCTGTAAATATAGAATATTTAGTTGAAATTATATAATAATAAAATTAACATAAATTTTAAATATTATTTTTATTTAAAATAAAATTAAAAAAATAATTAATATATTACATTACTTTTAAAATAGTACATAAAGTGTAACAATATCGATATTCAATAGGAACAGATTGCCAATGGCCAGAATTTAATGCTTCCCATGTTTTATCCAAACAAGCTTCAATTAATATTAACGAATCTTTTGTCCATTTCATTGATGAAGTTCTTTCATTAAAAAAAAATTAAATTATTAATATTATTTTTATGTAATAAATATAATTAAGATGCATAAAAATATATACATTATTAAATTTTTATATTACTATATTATATATAATATTTCAATTCTAAATAAGTTATTGAAAATAACATTTAAATACATTTAAAATTAAAAAAAAGAACAATAAATAAAATATTGAAATATTTTATAAAATTATAGAAAAAATTAATAAATTTCTATAATTACTTCATATAATCACATATTTTATTTACATCTTATTTTCAATGAAGAATTTTAAGCTAATGTTTATTGTTGCTAAATGTTTTTTCATTTCAATAGGTAAATAATTCTGCATATTCTCGTCAAATAAAGTCCAAGGAATTAATTTTGCAATAATTGTACAATTACACATTTTTTAAAATTAAGCAAATATAATAATAACTAAATAATAGAAAATATAAAATTTATAAAAATTATGAATTAAAATTATTTAATTTTCTATTAGTACAAATTTATCAACATGAATGTATCTAAAAGAATATAAATATTTATAATTCTTTGGAAATAAATAATTATTTATATAATAATAAGTACTACATTGTCAAATACGGAATAAAAGTTTTAGGTTAGTTTCATAAACAACATTATACATAGTATTATGTTTTAAATATTATTTTGAATCACTAAACGATAAATTTTAATACAATACAATTATCGATATTTATTTTGCCATTTAATATGGAATAACTAAATACAATTAAATAAACGAATATATCATTAAACAACACGTTATAAAATTTATCATTTTAATATAAATGTTAACATTGCTGCCATCTAACATTATAACTGCATAACATTTTTAAATTTATAAATGAAAATTTGAAGCCTATGCAAGCTTAAAATATTATTACGGGTGAAAAGAAAAAAATATGTGTTTAAGAATCACTTAATAAAATAAATAATATTATTGATATAAAAAATATTTAGTCTAAGATATAAAAAGAGTTTAAAATAATTCAGAATTATATAAAATTTTATATTAGTAAAACGAATCAAATATTAAGGTTAACCATTTTATTAATTTCATCAATTTTAGTTATTTTTTTTAATTTATATTTATATATAAATATTTTTTATTATATAAAATTATTAAATTATTAAATTATTTTTTTAATCTAAGATATTAATTTTATTTTTAATTTATATATTTATTTATATATAAATCATTTTTATCCTAGATACGATATTGACAAGTAAGATATTGATAAACATTTTATATTGTTAACAACTCCTACAAAATTGTCCTGCCAAAATAATAGAAGAGTATAATAATACACTTTTCACAAGTAAGAAAATTTTAAAATATCTTTTTATTTTATTGATATTATAAAAATAAATTATTTTTATTTAGTATAATATTATTATATAATTATTAATTATTAATAATATTATATTATAATTAAATTATAATATAATATTATTAATATATATAATCTAATATATATTATTATATATATAATCTATAATATATTAATTGTATTTAAAAGTTGTAATTTATTTTAAATTGTATTTAAAATAATTATTATTAAATAATTAACATAATAATGATATAATATATTTTTTTGCAGCAGGAGAGTAATATTTTATATAATTAAAAGTAAAGTGAAAAGAATTTAACAAAAAAAGATATAAAAAATAATATAAAAATTAGCAAAATTGTTAAGATGTTATCTTATTATCATAAAAATAAAATTTAATTATTTTTGCTAAATTTAATTTTTTAATTTAACTTTTAAAAAGTTTGAGAATTTTCTAAATATAAAATATTAAAGAACAAATATAATAAAAAGAAAAATTATAATTGCAAGATCATATTAGAAAATTATATAAGTGAAAATTAAAATGTATTAATAAAAAAAAGAAAGAAGGTACAAGAAGATTTAAGTATTTCTTCAAGAACGATTTTTAAAAAATTTAAAAATATTATGAATAAAGAAATATTTTTACTTTCTTAATAAAAAATAGCAAGAATTAAGTGAAATTAAATATTAAAAAAAATATCAAATATCAAATAATAAAAATTATAAAAATAATAAAAATTAATCATGAAGCAATATTAATTTGTAAGCAAATTAAGCAAATCATAATTTGTAAACATCAATTTATTTTTTTAGAAAATCGCAAATGCTATAATTTTTGTAATAATAATATTTCTAATGATAAAATGTTAAAAAATCAACATAAAGCTAATTATGAATCAAATAGAAAACTTCAACAGACTGCTTTATCTAAATGTAATGTAAAATCATTACAAAAAAAATCTTTGAAAATAAAAGCACATAAAAATATGAAGCAATCACAAGCAAATAAAATTCATGACTTAGTTGATTCCAAATCTGAAAATGGTTGCAATATACAAATACAAAAGAAAAATAATTGTAAAGTTAGTAAATCTATTACAACTAGAAGATCAAACAAAGATGTTTATACAGAATGCAAAAATCAAAGAACAGTAAAATCAATATGTTATTTAGAAATGAAAAAAAAGAAACCAAAAAAAATGTACCATAGAATAAAAAAATACAAACATCATATTAATAAATTAGGGAAAAATAAATATTGTAAAAAAATATTAAATAAAGAAAATACAAATAAGTTTTCCAAAATTACAGTGCTTCGTTCAAAGAAAAATGATATCAAAATAAATAAAGATATAGCAAAGCATAAAAACTTTTTAAATACTAAAAAGTTAATAATACCTTTAACAAAAATAGATGATCTTCCTTTATCTGAATTATCTAAAATAATTCCAGACTATGTTGCAAATAAATTAAAGAAACAAGATAATAAGGGAATATATTATGAAACAAAAGATATCATAAAAACACAATGTTGTTCATACAAACAATACAGAACTACTGAATTGAAACAAAATGAAGAAATAAATGTATTATATCATAAATCAGTGTTTGAAAAAAAATGTACGGAATTCAAAGAAAATATAATGGAAGGAATTGATACAAATATAACAAATATAAAATTTGAAAGAAATACATATAAAATGTCTTTACAAAATGAAATTAATAACATAGAAATATTACAAGATAATGAACATAAATTAGAAAACATAAATTTATTAGAAAATATTTTAAAATTTTTTTTAAAAACTAAAGACAATATGATAAATAGAAAAACACGATATAAATTAAAAATTCAAAAATTGCATGAACATGGGATAATAAAAAGTTTAGCAATATGTAATAAATGTAAAGAAATTATTAATCTTTTACAACAATTTTCAAATAAAATAAATTTTATAAATGATGAAAAATTATGTATTGAATGTACATTATGTAATTTACAAATTAATTCTTTATCTCATTTTCAAGAACATTTAATGAATATACACTTAAAATGTGAAAAAGACATATTACTCAAAAAAGATAAATTTGCAGTTATTATTATTAATTTCAACAAACAATTAAATTTAAATAATAATAATCAATTTATTTTTGAATGCTGTTGTTGTTCAAAAATATTTGATCATATGAGTAGTTTTGAAGAACATGTTAAAAAATATCATGATTTTAATTACTGTATAAAAAAAAATAAAGAGACAAAACAAATAGTTAAAAATTCTGAATCATGTACTACATTTCAAGATGAACCAAAATTTAAAACAAATCATATTTTTGATATTACTACTAAAGCAGTTGAAATTTCTAATCTAGGAAAAAAAATTGACACACAACATAATAATCATATAAATGAGTTTTGTATTAATACAAAAAAAATAAATTTTAAGAACAATATATATTATAATTCAAATAATAAAAATTTATTATCAAAAGTAAAAATAAAAGAGAAGCAAATAAATGATAATCAAATAATGCAGAAAATTCCAAAAATAAAAGATATAAAAAAATTAAATATTGATGAGAAATATTCAAATAATATTACAATCATCTCAGAGTCAAATTCAAAGTCACATCAAAATCAAAACTCTAATTCTTTTAATAATTATTTTAATCAAAAATATAAAGATAGAAAATGTAAAAAAACTTTTTTTATTACTTGTAATATTTGTTCTAAAAAATATAAAAGAAAATATATGTTCTTATCTCACATGTCTACACATGTAAATAATTCTCATGCTGATATGTATAAAAGACAAAAAATACAAGAAAGTAAAAAAGCAATAAAATATGAAAATGATTTAATTTTACAAAATGTAAATTCTAAAAATTCTAAAGATCATATTAAAACTTTTAAAAATAATAATATAATAAATTCTATTATAAATTTAGAAAAACCAAATCAAAACATTTCAATTCAATCAGAAATAATTGATAAAAAAATTAATGTTAAAAATGAAAATATGGAATATGTTATTAAAAAAGATAATATTATGAATGAAAATGATAATTGCAATTATACATTGAATATAAATCTTACACAAAAAACAAAAGAGGGTATAAAAAAACAAAAATTAATTAAATTCAATATGAATATTGCAAAAAAATATACAACAAATACTACTAGTAAAGAAAAACTTATAGAAAATATAATTGAAAATAAATTTCCAATAAATTTTAATAGAAATTCTAATTTTGCTATAAACATAAGTAAAAATAATAATAGTTATAATTTAACAGAACTATATTGCAATATATGTGATAAAAAATTTAATTCTTTAACAATATTAAGAGAACATATGTTTTTACATGATTCTTTATTTGAAAGTTCACAATTTCCAAATTCACTAATGATACCATATTTTAATAATCCTCATAAAATAAAAAATCTATCTAGAAAAAATACTTATATATCTAGAAAGGAAAATAATGTGTTATTGAAAATAAAAATATTAAAAAAAATTCTACAAAAGCGAAATAAAGTACATGAGAAAACAATTTATCAAATTCCTAATAAGAATATAAATAAAAAAAATAGAAAATGGCGTTGTAGTCCATGTAAAGAAAATTTTGCATTACTTCGAAATTATTTACGACATAAATATTATTGTCATAATGATGAATCTGTAATTCATATTTGTGATAATTGTAATAAAATTCTTACTTCAGTTGCAATGGTGAATATTCATATATGCACTAATGTTACTTCTTGGAATTGTAAAAGATGTAATCTTAGTTTTCCTAATGCCATATCTTTAACACAACATAATATGAATACCCATTTAGAAACTATAGGTCCACATAAATGCAAGATATGTAAATTAAGTTTTCTTACATTATATATGTTAATAAGACATGAAACCATACATTCAACGAATAATGATAATAATTCCAGTAATAATTTAGACAACTTTATAGATTTCTCTGCATCTGCAAAAGATTCTTTATCTCATACAGTATATAATGTAAATGTTAATACTGAATTTAATGAAAAAGAATCACAATTATCAGATAATAAAGATATCTTTGCTATACATAATGATACATTTTTAAAACAATTAGATAAATTGAATGGAAAACTTTCAAAATTGAATATTACATCTAATATATTATATAATAATGAAAAAATACTTGAGTGTAAAAATTGTAACATATCATGTGATACGACATTACAAATGAAACTCCATTTAAAAAAATGGCACAAATGGAACAAATGTGAAATATGTAATAATTTATACCTTACATATGAATTAACAAATCATTTAATATTTCATCATATTGTTTTTGATTTATTTTATAAAAAAAACAATATTCAATCAACTCATGAAAATATAAATTTTCAAAATGATATAATAGAAATTCTTGGAATGAAACGTTTGCTATCTCTTTATGAATATGAAAGATTTAGTAATATAAAAAGCAAATATTTCAATTGTATAATATGTTCAAAACAATTTTCAAATATTCAATGTTATAAAATTCATTATTTGAAATATCATGATACAATATGTTTATTATGTAATATAGAATTTAAGTATAATTTTGAAGCATTTGAACATAAAATTAAAATTCACAAAAATGTTGATTTATATCTCTGGGTAGTACAAATATTACTATTAGCTATTTTACAATTAAATAAATATGGAAAAACTATTGAAGAAGTGATATTAAAATATAGTGAAAGTAGAATATATTAAAAAATTATAATAATGATAAAAGTTTAAATTTTACATATATTTACTATTTATTAAAAAAATAAATTGAATACTGTAAATTTAGATAGTAAATTTAGATATATTAAATCTGTATTTAGTTATAACTTAATGTAAATTTTATATATTATATAATTTTTCATAAATAATAAATATTAATGAGTATTTTACTATAATTATTCATTTAATTTTTTATGTGATAATTTTCTAAAATTTTTTACCATTAATTTTTTCTAGTTTTATATATTTAATATAATTATTATATTAAAAAATTGATTACTAAAAAAATAATAAAAAATAACTAAATTATCAAAAAATCCAATAATTATAAAATCTAATTAAATAATAAATAATATTTTTTTTATATTTTTTTTAATACATATATATATATATATATCTTTATATATTCACTTTTTATACTATTTTTATACTATTTTTATATATTATATGTACTTTATATAAATTTAATAAATTCTATGAAATTTTATATCATCTGTGGAAAAATTGAATTTAAAATTCTCAAATTCTTGTCAAATTACCAAAAGCAAATAATTCCTAAGATAATGTATTAATGTATTAATATAATATATATATATTATAATAATAATAATTATAATATTATATAATAGTTACTATTATTGAAATTATTATATTTCATTTTTAAATATTTTTGTTAATTATGTTTAATTAAAAAATTTTAACTTTCTTAAAGAACTCGAAATTTACTTGAGATATTTTGTATTGATCAATTATAATTTATTAATTGATATTAATTTTATTATTTGATATTAAATAATTATTTATATTTTTAAAAAATGTTAAATATGTTATGTTATTAAAAAATTTATTATTAATTCAACTAATTATTAAATTTTTAAATGAAAAATAAATTTCTAACCTGATATTAAAATTCGCGCTAAATACTACAGCGCTCATTTCATATGTATTATACATTTCACTATTTTATGTTTGTACAATTGACTTTTAAATCAATTCAACTACTATTTCATGTCATTGTGTTTTTTGATAGTTTGAGTATTTAGAAACTGTCTTGGTAAAAATAATAAAATAAAAAACAGTGTCAATTCTTATTTAATATAATAAAACAATTTATATTTTCATAATTTAATATTAAAACATACAATTGAGAAGTGTATTTCACAATTCATTTCCTTCGTATTTAATTAATATAATTTCTTTACTTCGTTGTAATTATTTACAGTTTTTGGTAAATAAAAATTTATTACTTATTATTTCTTTAAATTTTATTATATAAAATATAAGAAACATAACCACTATTAGATATGATATTTTTTGTTTAAAACATATGTGTCATGTAATTAATTGCATATATATAAATTTTTATTATTCTATATATTTTTATATATTTTATTATTATACTTTTTTATCTTTCTTATCTCTATTATACTTCTTATATATATTTTTATTTTATTGTAATTAATTTTTTGTAGTTATCAGTTTCTTTTAAGTTTTTTATTTTTTTTAAAAATATGATATATTTCCCTTTTATATAAGATATTGTAACATTATTACAATTTTATTTTTAATCATTATTATAATTTGTTTTATTTTTAATTATTTATTTCGTATATATATATATATATATATATATATATATTGTATTTTGTTTATTTATTTTTTACAGTTATGTAATTTTGAAGAGCATTAAAATTAATAAACAAGAGACTATGAAGATTTATTGGTACAATTACTTTTATTATAAAATTAGTTGTATACCATGATATAGAAATAAAAAATACACAGTGTGATGATCAAGTATGACAGGTTCTTCTGAAATGGATACAAATAAACAATCAGAAGAATCTAATAATATTCCAAATAATGTTGGAAAATCTGAAAGTTCAGATTCAATAGAGGTTATTATTATATATATAATGATATGTTTATATTTATGTTTAAAATTTATTAAGTTATATTTAAAAAAGATAGATATAAAAAAATTTCATTTAAAAAACAAAAACATAAATTTATTATATTTTCTATTTAGGTGGATAATTCACGTACAGTTTTATTAAAAATAGCAACATTATATGCAGAACGTCTTATGAATGATATTTGTCTAGTTGTTGATGGTATAGAATATCCAGCACATCGTCTTATACTTTGTGCTTCTAGTGATGTTTTTCAAGTAAGTAAATTTGCTTTTAAATTAGTATATAATAAGATGAAATGAAAAACAATTGTTTATTCTTATACAGGATGTCACTAAACTGGTGGTATAACCTAAAAGGACATGATTTTATGTAAAAAAAGTAAATTAATATTTAGAATAATATTTTTTTAAATTAAATGTTTATTCTTAAGTTGATTCATTCATTTAGAATATTTAAAAAAATATAATATTGGATATAAGTATATTATTGGTAGATAAATGAAAACTATTTTTTATTATTTTTATGTTTAATAAAAAATAATTTTTAAATAAAAGATATTTTCGTTTCGTTATTATTCCTTTATTATTTCAATACTATAATTAATATTGATTAAATATTAATTAAAACAATAATATGACAATTTTTTTATTGGATATTTATTATATTTATTTTAAATAAATAAAATAAAAGTAATATTTCAATATTATACTCATTATTATTTTTTTCAATATAGGTAATGTTAATGAGTCCTCAATGGAGTGAATCTCAAGAAAGTAGAGTAACCCTCCAAGAAACGCCACAATGTGTACCTATATTTAGTGAGTTTCTGCGGTACTTTTATACTGGTCAAATAAGAATTAATTATGGTGTCGTTCTACCAATATTATCATTAGCTGATAAGTATAATGTTAAGGATTTAATATCACTGTGCCTTGATTATATGCAAAATCATATTGCATTAGCTGCCATACATGGCACTTTAGTATCATGGTTACAATATACTTCAAATTGTGGTCATCACAATATTACTCAAGCATGCCAAAATTTTATTAAATGGAATTTGGAATTGGTGGCCAAGACTGCAGACTTTGGAAACTTTGATTTGGATATTTTAGTATCATTGTTACATCAAAGTAGTTTAGTAATAAAGGATGAAATGACATTATATAAATGTTTAGAATCATGGTTGGATCATCAGGCAAATCGATTAAAAACACAATTATCACACGATGAATTAGAAGCAACATTGGAACAATTGGTAATAGCTGTGATGTCTCCAGTTAGATTTCCAATGATGTCTCCTCGGCAATTAGCAGAATTGCTATTATTTCCTTTAACAAAAAAGTATAAAGAATTCTTTGTAGAACGTATGTCTATAGGGATGTCATTTCATTCTGGTCAATTAGACAGAGTTAAAGAAGTGAGTTCAAGTGAAGAAGATGGCGCGTTACTTTTTGAACCTAGATTATATACTGTAGACACTTGTAGTTCATTACTTACGATAGAGAATTTTCACGGTTTACCTTCTTATCATACAAGAACACTTGTATTTTCGAGTCATTCGTGTTTGGCAGAATATGCTGGTGATCGTGCGTGTGAATGGGTCGTAGACATATATCCGAAAGGGGTTTGGTTTAAAAAATTTTTTTTGATAGTATGGCAAGGAACAGTAGAGATGCCAGAACATGTAAAACGTTCGGTTAGATTATCACTTACGTGTAAGGAACCACCCGTAAATAGTAATGCCGATATGCGAGTAAAAATAGGTGTTTTAATATATGGTTTACAGGATGGTGTTGAGCATATTGCTAGAGTAACAGAGATTATTCACAGGTTTAGTAAAAAAGAACGAGTCCTTAATTTGGACGATCTTTTACCGTTCGAGGAACTTAATCCGCAACAAGGTTCTGTAACAGAAAATACTTCTCCTTTTCTTGTAGGTCCAAATAAAGATATGCTCAAACTTCACATTGTTATATCACCAGCTAACTAAGATAAATCTCTTAAACTGTACCAAATAAAATTTTATTATGAAATTCAAGTATATTTAATATATAATAAATTGCCTTTATTTTATGTTAAAACTTATGATTTTGATATATATTCTAGATTTCTTCTCGTTTGGATACATTGGTATTTTAATATTAGATTGATATAAAGTTTTATATTTAGATCAAACTATATATGAAAGAAAGTATATAATAAAATATTGAAAGACTTAAATATTTTATATATTTTCATTATATTAATATTTTGTAAGATGATAATTATTAAAGATAGTTACATAACCACTTTTAATTGGTTATATTTATTTGATATATTTTTTTAATTTTATTAGTTGATATTATTTAGAATAGTTTTTAAAAAACAACAGATAAATGAAATGAACTCATATTAATTTTTTTGTAAAAAAAAATTAAGAATGAAAGAAATATTTTTAAAATTTCAAAAATTTAATTTCTATTTGATTTCTTGGTATATACTTTATTTTAATATATAATTTAGTACATTAAACTTATATGAAATAAGTTTTAAAAAAATGTTTTTAAACATGAAAAACCAAAATAAGTTAAAATTGATAATTGAATTTTTAAATTAAGATCAGTTTTAACAATAAATAAATTCATTTATAATAATTATAAAAAACATTTTTTTAATATTGTATATACTATAATATATATTTATTCAAAATTAAAATTGTACCTTCAATAATATAAAATTATAATTATATTAAATCACATGTATAAAGTTTTTATTTAATCGAATATATATATATATATATATATAATAAAAATGTTTAAAATTTATTTATTAAGTTATAAATAATTTGAATTTATATTAGATGAAGCTGAAATAACGAGGCTGAAATGGAATGTGATGGAAATATAGTTAACTTTAGATAATATATCTTATAAATATAAATAAGGACAATAAATAGGAAAAAATAATAAAGAAAAAGATAGTGATAGAATAAAAATTAACTGTTAGCTATTGCCATCTTTCGCCAAAGATATCATTTCAAAGGCAGGATAAGAAAGAATAGAAACGCTATTCTAA